CTGCAATAAAGATACAATAAATATATTTACACCTGAGAGCTTCACAACATGGAGCTTCTGACCAAACTTTGCATTCTCCATAAATGAACGCGCTGCATTCATGTTACAAATATTTTACATTTTGGTTTATGAGTAAACTCATCTCTGCTGAGTTTTACACCGCAGAGCTCTTTATTCGTACTTCTGCACAGAAACACGAGTTCGTGCAGCCGCATTACTGAGGCCCAGCCGTTGCCATGGAGACGAGGTTTAGTCGAAACAATAACACAGAAATACTTAACTCTGCTGTGTGTGTGTGTCGCTGCAGCTGTAACTTAGTCATGCAAGGAGTGAATATTGGAAAAATAAGGTACATTTACAGGTGCGTCTCAAAAAATTGGAATATTTTGAAAATTTCAACTAATTTAGTCATTTCACAAAGTGAAACTCATAAATTACATAGATTCATTACACAGAGGGAAATATATTATTATATATTTTTATATATTTCACTCTGTGTAATGAGTTTCACTTTCTGACTGACAAAAATTAGAACTTTTTCCACGATATTCTATTTCTTTACATGCAGCTATGTATGATATCTATGATGTTAGCTTTAAGCTGTGCACAGAAATTTGTTATTTAAACTAATTTCATTTTTTTAATTGTGCTCTCCGAGTTAGCTGCTGCCTCAGTTTGCCATTTAGCATTTCATCTATAATAAGAAGTCTGTAATTGTTCGTACATGGATAAAGCTTGTTCTAAAACAATAATATGAAGCTAAAATTAGATCAACTATAGCTAAAATCTAACAATCAAAATATAGTAGCTGTAACTTAAATTTAGCAAAACCTTTGCTGAAAGCTAAAAACCATAAAACTGTTGCTAAAACTATATTTAGTAGAACTGTTGCTAAAAGCTAAAATATACAAAAGAGAAAAACGGTGGCTAAAAGCTAAATCTAACAAAACCACTGCAAAAAGCTAAAATGGACTGTAGCTCTAACATTAGCAAAACTGTAGCCAAAATTTAAAAGTAGCAAAACTGTGGATGAAAACTAAAATTAGCAAAATCTCGGAAAAAGCTACAATTTGATGACTAAAAACTAGAGTTAACAAAACAGTATCTAAAAGTTAAAATGAGCTAAACACTGTCTGAAAGAAGGAAATAATAGTTAAAAGCCCAAGTCGGAAAAAATATAACAAAGCTAAAATCAGCAAAATAGATGAAAGGTAGCAAAATACTTAAATTAGCTAAATAAATAAATAAAATAAGCAAAATGTTTAAAGCTAAAAATCTCAAGTAAGCAACGTCATAAGTTAAAATTAAAATCTGCAACTCAAGCTAAAAGCTGACTTTAGAAATAATGCAGTTAAAAAAAAAAAGACAATTCTGCAGAACAAGATTTCAGAGAACAAACTTTTCCGAAGGAACTGATTAAGTGATCCCAGTGTACTTCGATGGCAAATACATTTCTAAATAAAGATTAATAATTAAAAAAAAATAAAAGTTACAAACACAAAAAAGTCATTTCAAGTTTTTCTGAACTTTTTCTTTTAAAGTAGCACAAATTGTGTGACTGACAAACAAGCACAGAAGAACATGTAAACAGAAAAACAAGTACCGTATTTTTCAGACTATAAAGTGTACTGGATTAGAAGGTGCAATATCAGTGGACGGGTCTGTTTTCATACATAAGGCACATTAAGCAAAACAAAACAGTCAGATAAGTCAAACTTTATTCAACTCATTCACTATAACCAAATCAGTTCAAGGTCAGTAAACACAACAATAATTAATGCATAATGTGCAATGAATTATCACATTTTTTGGCCTATAAATCACCTTTTTTTTGCATAATTTGCATACCCTGCGATTTATATGCTGAAGTTACTTATTTATGAATTTATTCCCATATTTATAAACCAATTTTTGTCTGAGATATGACCGTTTTCATTCATTCAGACTGAAAATATTGAACACTACCATTTTCAGCTGCTAGATGGCAGTCGAATAGTATGGCATGCCGTTCTGTAATGTAATAGGTAAAAAGTGGCTATTAATGACACAATTGGCTTGCCCTATGTCACCTTAGTCCAGCTCACCTGGAGCAACCACCAAATTAGCTTCATTTTGTTGCACCGTCCTGATGAAATGCAACTGATTTCACCGTCAAAGGGCATTTATTAAGTAAAAGTTCAACCGAGACACACCTTTACTATAATTTTGAGCAAACAAATAATTGTTTTTAGGTGATTATCTTGTTAAATACTTGTTAAAGTCCTCCCGTGCATGCTCCCGTGGCCACTATTTGGCAGCCAGTCGTTCTTTTGGCACAACAGCGCCCACATTTCCAGGTTGCCAGTGATGACGCACAAAAGCTGAGACGTATACGACGAAGCGACATATTTATGGATTTTTTTTCACTTTATTATACATATTTGGACTGATGCGACGTGTACGGCGGAAAATACGGTATAAGGCTCACTGTTGATTTTTGAGAAAATTAAAAGATTTAAAGTGTGCCTTATAGTCTGAAAATACAGTAGCTAAATATTGTCTGAATTTTCCGTTGTAAATAAGAAAAACTGATGAAATAATTTGTAGGCTTAAATTCAGATTCAGGCATCGTGAAATGTAATTCTTGAACGTATAAATATTCATTTCTTGTGTGTTTGTTTGTTCGTGCCTTTTTGTAAATATAATAGAGAAGAAAAAAAACGTTTTGCAAAGAAATTACACGTATAATTCTTGTGCTTCAAATAAATCTACGTTAAAATCCTAATCTCATACACAATCAGTTTACGAACTACCCAGAGTGCAGTTTCTTATCTGATCAGCTCGCCCAGCTGTGACTCTGGAGAGTTACACAAAAACTCCTCAGTCTAATCTCACACGTTTGTTATTAGCTGCTTGTTTATTGCAAATAAAGGAAATTGTCTCCGTGTCAGTCTGGGAGTTGGTGAAATGAAACGGTGAGCTTCTGTTACCGGTCCATCTCCCAGATGGTTTTCACACTCTCGTCGTCTCACAAGTGCTCACTTTAATTAAGGTTTGCAGGGAGGAAGACAGCGGTGAAGATATGTGAGCTGCTGCGATGCTCTGAGGGTCTCACCGCTCCCATCAAGAGACGTTGTTTGGTTCTGTTCGCTTTTTTACACACCTGGATTTAATTTGCCCCAAAACATGTCAATAAAGATAATTATACAAGAGGAAAACAGGAAATGGCAGCAAAGTAACGTGACGTGTTTGTGATTTATTATTCAGGAGAACAACAAACTCTGGCAGGCCTTCATCTTTCAGCCTGAAGTCGTTACAGCTCGAGATATCCATCACCGCCAGACGTTCAATTCCAAAAATTAACTCCGTCTCACAGGTAGCGCTTTAAATCAGGAAGTGCGTGGTATACTTTTAAAGAAAATTAGGATTTTAAATTAAAAACAGCGATTCCTTTCATGTCAGAGTTTTTAACAAAGACCATTATATGTTGAGAAATGATGATGCTGCAAACATGTTGGTCAAACCTTGAAACATGACGTTTGCACGATGTCACTGTCGGGATCTTTGGTCAATGTTTATGGATGTTTTTGTCACTGTTAATGTGAACTTTGTGAGTTCTTTTCTCTCTCAGAGAGGGCTGGAAGGAGCTGCTTTGAACCTGCATGTGCAGCTGGATGGAGGCCGAGGACACTCTGAGCCGAGAGCTGAGGAGCACATACGAAGACAAACCTTGCGCACTGACCGGTGCACATTCTCATGACTGGGCTCCATGATGGAGAGCTGGTTAAATATCTGCTCGTGTTCTTGAGGCTCCTTTGAGTAAGTAAGATGAATAGAGGATATTTTTATCCAACATTTTGCTCCTTCGAGGCCGGCCCCAACATCTCGAGCCTCCAGGTTTGGATCTGAACCGTGCACGGGGGGAGATCCAAAATGCTGCCAGCTGAAAGAAAATCGCCCATGCAGTAAATATCCACTAGGAGGCTCGTATCTATTTGCTTAGTTAAGTCCAGGTGGCAACTTTTTTTTGGCCAGGCAGTGTATCTCTCCAGTTTTAGCTTCTCTCCATTGGCTCCCTGTCAAGTCCAGAATTTAATTCAAAATCTTACTTCTAACCTACAAAGCCCTCAACAACCTAGCTCCATCTTATATTACAGATCTTATTGTTACAGATTTTCTCAACAGAGCACTTTGCTCTCAAACTGCAGGTTTACTCGTGGTTCCTAGAGTTTCCAAAAGCAGAATGGGAGGACGATCTTCCAGTTCTCAGGCTCCTCTCTTGTGGAACCTACTTCCAATCTCTGTCCATGAGGCCGACACATTGTCCAGTTTTAAGACTTTCCTTTTTGATAAATCCTATAGTTAGGGTTGTCTTGGGTTTCCTGAGCTTTCCATTAGTTCTATAGGCTTAGACTGCTGGAGGAAAACTGACCACATGTCTTTACTTGCTCTACTCTTCCTGTTTGTGTTTATTTCTATTTTAAAATGATTTTTTTTGTCTTTCCTCCTATAGAAACCACACCTGGACCTGTCATTCTGTGTTTATCTGTTCCTCCTTCCTGTCTTCTCAAACCCAGCCGGTTGAAGCAGATGGCCTCTCATCTTGAGCCTGGTTCTGCTGGAGGTTTCTCCCTGTTAAAGGGGAGTTTTTCCTTTCCACTGTTGCCTTTGTGCTTGCTCAGGACGGAAGACTGTGACGATTCAACACAATCTGTTGCTTCCTTAGATAGATAACTTTTACTATCTGGCCTTTGTAATGTATATTAATGTTTTCGTACAGTGCACTGAGATGACTTCTGTTGTGATTTGGTGTTATAGAAATAAACTGAGTAGAGTTTAAATAGTCTTTGTTAAATATTGATAAAAAGACACCTGAATGGATGTGGCCCCGATGCTCTCAGGTTTCACTGAGTGAATAGCTGCGCTGCCTGTGGAGGAGGTGGGGTCAGCTCGTCAGCTTTCCCTTTGAGGAGGAGCTTTAGCTAACAGAAATTAAAAAGCTCACCTGAGCCACAGATCACCTGTGAGGAGAGGAAGACATCCACCTGTTGGTAAGAACATCATCGGATTAAGTGACTCAACATATTGACAACATCTAGACAAACATTTCTTATCTGTTTCATTTTCTTGCAGCCTGGAACATTTATTCTATCAGTTCATCATCAAGACAATGGTAAGTGTGTCCTTTAGCTGATTTTTAAATAAGACAGTAGGTGATAAATGTCATTAAGAGCCAAAAATGAGTTTTTCACTCGGCAGGAGTGTGCATGAGTCACACACCAGGCCAACCTTTGTGTTTGGGTGATGGAGCGGGTCTGCTGGGGGTCGCACTCATTCCTCTCCGCAGACACCAACATCCTGTTTGCATGCATCCATAAACCACCAGGAACTATTACTGTCTGAATTTTGATGAAGCATTACTCGTTGTTTTCCTTTTTTTCTGCAAATATTTAAATGTAGCCACCTCCCCATACTTTGTGCTGCTTTATCCATTCATATATCAAAAGGTTCATCTCACTCAGGAGATGGTACTATAACTTAAAAAAAAAAAAAGTTGTACCTTTGATACTTTACAAAACATTCAACTTTGTTTACAGGTATTTTACACATAAGAATATATGCAATTCTTTCAAACTCTTTCGATTATTTGAAAAACTCGTCCTGATGCTGCTCCGTAATCCAGGTAGAGAAATCTAACAAGGTTGAGTCAGGTCCTCTGGACGGATTCTTCTTGTTGAAACATTTCGTCTTTTATTAAAAAAAAAAAACTTCTTCAGTCTGAGGAACTGCAACTAACTCAGTCTTATAAATAGCACCTTCTCATAGTGGCTCAATCATTTTTCTGTTGACAGCCAGAACTAGCTGTTCACATGCAAAAGGAGGACCATCAGCCTAACAACAGATTGTTATTGCTCTGATGGCTGTTTACTATTCACAGGGGGTTGAGTGATACTAGCAATAACAGCATTGTAAGAGGGGGACAGTTGGACATGGAGACCCCCGCCCCATTTAAAGATGGACGGTTTCTCTTCACAAAGATGGCCTCCTTCACTCCTCTCTCAAACCATCGTTCCTCTCTGTCCAGGATGTGAACATCTTCATCCCTGAAAGAGTGACCTCTGACCTGCAGATGAGTGTAGACCTCAGAGTCCTGGCCTGATGATGTTGATCTTCTGTTAGATTAGATTTATTTGTCATGTGCAAAATCAACACAAGGTCAACAATGTCATGAAATGCTTAGGACAAAAAGAACTGTTTCGACTCGCCAAAACAAACAAAACAAACAAAAAAAAACATGAAATATCAAATCATGCAGCAAAAATACTAAAAATATACTACTAAAATACTAAAAAAACATATAAAAAATACTACTAAAATACTTAAAAAACAAGGCGCCTAAGGTGAAAAAGAAAAATATCTACAGTTAGCAGTTAGTAGAGAGGTTTTTTCCAACATCATGGTTCTGTTAGCGGCGCGGTCTTGTTAGCAGGTCCGGTCCGCAGCTTGATGGTAATAAGGACCGCAGCAGCTGCCTTCTGTGCTGGACCATCCTTTTGGCCAGTGGGCTCCTTGCAGGGTTTCAGTCTGAAGAAGTCTTTTGGATAAAAGACAAAATGTTTCACGAGGAAGAATCCGTCCAGAGGAACTGACTTAACTTTGTTAGATCTTTCAAAAACAGTTGTCTTTGACATTCTGCAGGAGGTTTCTTCCTGTTAAAAGGAAGTTTTTTCTTTCCACTGTCTCCTTTGGGCTTGCTCAGGATGGGAGACTGTGACGAAGTGGAGATACACCACAATCTGCTGCTTCCTCAGATGGAGAACTTTTACTAAATGGCTTTTATAATGTGTGTGACTGTTTCTGTTCAGTGACCTGTTGTGTCTTGGCGCTAGAAATAAACTGAACTGAATTGAAATCTGCTTCAACACGAGTTCCTTTTTATCTTTGCCTTTACTTTTTAACCACTGTTCTGTTACTTTAAGCTTTTGGCTACCATTTTGTTTATTTTAGCTTAAATTAATTGTCTTTTGGTTATTTTAAATTTTTACTTATCATTTTCTAACTTTGAACAGGAATTTTGTTACTTTTACTCTTTTTTTCTGATTTAGGCTTTTATTGTGTCTTTTGCATCATTTCAGCTTTTAGCTACCATTTTGCTGCTTTTCCAGTTTAGCTAGCATTTTGTTTCATTTTTACTTTCTAATGTTCTGATTCTTTAAACTTTATCAACTCAGTTTCAGCTTCATCAGTAAATTTCAGTAAAGTCATAATTATGATAAACACAAAAATCCAGCTCAATTTTTCCAAATTTTTTAAATGACTACAAGACTTTTTTGTTTTGATGATCTTCATTACGATGAAATTACTTTTTGCAGCGATGGGCTCATTATTTAAACATTACCAGGTCTCACGCAGGATTCTCACAATAGCACAAAGGACGAGGAGCGGCTTCATTTAATATTCTGCAGTTGTTTCACCTCTGCTCGTTCACAGACTTCAGACTGGCTGATGAGGATAAGTGACAAGAAGTCAGTGTCATCCGATGGCAAAGCTCTAATTTGTTCCAGATTCTGTTACACGTGCGTGGAAACTATGAGCCACTATGAAACCACGAACCACTGAAGATGTATTTATCCAATCAAACAAAGTTTGTGGTTTCCTTACTGAGTTAACAGAACAGAGACAACGCTGCACTTGGGTTGAAAAGCAAACACGTTACCTCCAAAGAAGAGATTGTTATAAAACAAGCTAAACAGGAAGTCATGACAGTTTCTGATTGGCTTGGATTTAGGGGAACATGTAACACAAGGAGAACATTAATACTTATTTTCACAAGTTGCTACAAGAAAACATCAATAATTTTCAACAGCTTTTTCTGAGGGCGGCACGGTGGTTCAGCTGGTAGAGGTGCTGCCTCTCAGTGAGAATGTTGCTGGACCAAATCCCGGCCCGGGACCTTTCTGGGTGGAGTTTGCACGTTCTCTTCGTGCTGCGTGGGTTTCCTCCCACAGACCAAAAACATGCATGTTAGGCTGATTGGTAACTTTCAATTGTCTCTGGATGTGAGTGAGAGAGTGAATGTGTCCCTGTGATGGACTTGAGACATGTCCAGGTGTCCCCACTCTCACAGTTACTGCTGAATATGGGCACCAGTGAGCCCCGCGATCCAAAAGGACGAAGCAGGTAAGGATAATGGATGCGTCCTTGTCTGACAGACCTGTCCTGTCTTTGTGGAGGCAGCAGTGCAGTGAATTGCTCCTCTTCCTCAGTTTTGTCTTCTGAGCAGCAGTTGCCACCAGTTCTCAATGGACTTTAAGTAATTGCACTTTTTTGTTGCTGTCACAGTTGCAGTTTACTTCAAAATGGGCATTTTCCCCCCCAGAATAAATGCCATAAGTATTTAAATGTGGATTAACGTTGCCAGCACAGTTTCTACAGAGTTGACAGCTTCTGTTCTACTTTTGTTTAGCCACAACATTTACAAGTGAATCAAGTTTTTGAGTTTTGAGAAGTGATTGTACTTGAATAATACGTGGGACCGAGATGGTGCAGAGGTAGGTCAGTCAGTCAAGTTGTGACCAGAACGTCTCAGGTTCTACTCCCCGCCATACCAACCTGTCAAGGTGTCCCTGAGCAAGACACCCAATCCCTAATTGCTCCTCGGGCGCTTACATAGCTGCCCACTGCTCCACCTGTGTGTATCTCAGGTGTGATGGGTTAAATGCAGAGAACTAACTTTGTCATTGTATGGGACCATACAACGATGACAACACATAACACGTATCTTACTCATCTAATCCTTTGTTATGTGTATTTCTAGAAAATGGCAGTCACAAACATTTTTTTAATTCTTCAAACCTTTTCTGGTGTTCATGTGTACAAAGTACATAAAAAGATAATATTTTCCCTATGATCTCACTTTGCACTATGACTTGCTGTATTTATCAGTTTATAAGGTTTGCAGATTTATTTTTATTTTTTACTTTAGTACTTGTCATGAAGTAGTCTTACAGCCCATGTGGTATAATATGTATTTTTGTATGTATGTATGTATGTGTGTGTGTGTATCATATACATTTTAGCTTATATTACTACCTTGAAATACTCATTTGTTCAAATTCATCCTGCTGCACCATTATATTCTACCATGTTGTTGTTCACTATCTCTCTTTAGGACATTGTAAATATTATAATTACTTTTTCACTTTTTGGTACTTTTTTGTGTACCCTTATTGCATGCTTTTAGTATTTCTTGTTGGTTTGTTCTTTGATTTTTTTTAGCGAGTCAAATCGATTCTTCTCATCCTAAGCATTTCATTGTACAGTTAACCCTGTGTGAACCTGCATGTTACAAATAAACACAACTTAAGACACTGAGAATGAAACTGGTGCTTTATAATAACCGTGCACTGTTTTGTTGCAGGCTTTAGTTTGTCATTTAAAACACCATGTTCACAGTTTTCAACAGATAGAAAAAGTAACTAAAACTGTAATGAGATGGACAAAAGACAACGTTTTCTATTGATTTCATGTGCACACAGTCTGAATCAGCTGCAGCAAACGTTTCAGTGCTTTTCTCATGAATTGTCTCTGGAAATATAAGAACTGAATGACAAACTCTTGTTTTTAAAGCATACAAAACCAGAGGACATACTTTATGTATTTATTACTGTTTTTCATTTTCAAATTTTGTCTCAGAGGAGTTTACATCAATTTGAAGGTCATTAGCTAAATGTAATGGTCCAGCAGCAGAGTTATTTGCTACAAGTTTCCTCATAATTAAACTTTTATAGCCTCAGAATAAAACATTTAGTGGGAGTTTTATTATGAGCAGAAAGACAAATGATTTAAAACACTTCAAAGGCCCAAAGCAAAGGTTGCAGAAGCTTTACTGTCATACAAAAGAAAATCTGCCAAAGGAAATTGAACATAGGAGCAAAATGTTATTCCCATCTTTGTTTGATTATGGTGTCCAGTCATTAATAAATGATATGTGTAAATTTAGTAGTAGCTGTAAAACTTGCACGCATTCTGCTCCTCAGGTTTGTTCAACTGAAATATTTAGAATTGATCTGTTCATTGGCAGCATAGTTTTGTTTTTTAAAATAAATTTTAATCTTTTTTCTGTGTTTCTGTCATGCAACAGGCGCACAGAGGCAGCGTTAAACCGTTCGTCCACTTCAACGCCAAATCTGATGCTGACATTCTTCACAAAGCCATGAAAGGAATCGGTACGTTTGTTTTTCTCGTATTAAAATATCCAAAGTTGCCAAACGCTTTGGACGTATAATATCTGCGACTGTTTTCCTGTGTCTGGTCACGTCTGCTGCTCCTGAGCATGGAGCACCTCCATATCCAGACCTTTGAGTCCCGACACTCAACAATACTCAAAGTTAGCAAATACATTGTGCAATCACCCCTTCTTTAAATTAGCCTGGACAAATTGTTCTAGTGTAAGAACTGATTAATGTGTTTAAGGTCAATTTAAATTAAAAAAACTTTTTTTTCACCCTTGGTTAAATTTTGTGCTCAGACTTCCCATTGGAAATCCAACAATATAATCCAAGTTTCATGTTTTAAATGGAAAAGTTTTAACTATTTGCTACAGGAACAAATGAAGACACTATCCTGATGCTTCTGACGGCTCGCTGCAACGATCAACGACAGCAGATTAAAGCAGCGTACAAAAAAACCTACGGGAAGGTGAGTCGAGCGCAAGAAACCAGAAACCTAAAGACAACTGGCTGTCACTAACAGATGCTCGATGGAGCAAAGTGTCTGTACCCTTTCTTGTAACGCACCATGTCACTTTTTGATTTATGTTTTTAAAAGTGAAAAAGAGCAAAACTGCACTGATGATGTCGGCGTCTTAGACCTAGTCTTCATCATCGTGAACAATCAAAAAATGATTCATGTAACCCATGTAAAAGCTAGTAAAGTTGACCAAAGGGCTTTGCATTATTGTCAAACAATAAGAATAATAAATAAATAAATGATACAACAATAACAAATAACAATATAAATTTGAATAAAGCAGCAATAACCCAAAAGAAAATCACACCAAATTTAACAGATTTCCATTATGCAGCCTAGAATATAGATTATTAACAAAAAATATTTTACAAATAACCAAAATGACCTTTTTATTAACATGTTGTTACTACTTTAACACCCTTTTATTTTTTGACACATTACAATATTACGACCCATATAATCACCAAATAGTTTGCTAATATTTTCCTACTCTTATTATCATGTTTTAATTTTCTTTTTATATAAAGTGCCTTGTTACTGCTGCATAATTACATGGTTCATAATATTATCTAAAAATTAGATTTTTATTACTTGTTTTGTTCCCACCACTGGTACTATAATTTAACTTTTACCAGGTAATTAGATGGTTATTATGGTGGTCATTATAAAATCTTAACAGATAAGTACATGTTTATTATTCCACTAATATTTTCAATTGTCCACGTTTATTCCTTTGATATTAGCTAAAACATTTTTTAAGTATTGCCACCTTAATATCCTTGTTACTGTTAGGTAATTACTTTATTACAACTCTGATAATTACGCATGATTACCCATTTAAAACATTCTTATTACCACTCTGTTACCACACAATTACATTCATTATCTTTAATTCTGCCAAACAAATACATCATAATACTTTTTTAACTCTTTAATATTACCTAATAATTATATTTTTACTCAACTTCTAACCCATTTTGACCAACGCATCATCTTTGTTATAGCAAGTTAATTACATGATTATTAATATGATAACATCATAATATTAAATCTTTATTACTTTGCTTTAGTCATACTGTTTCCACAATATAACCGTCTTATTACATAGTTGTAATTTGAAATGTTTGTTGCTCTAAATAAGCTTAAACTAACACAAAGAGGTGAGATTTTTGCAGAATTGTGAAGATTGTTAACAGCTTTAATCAAGTGGATTGTAAGAAATATATTTATATTAGTGCGACCGTTGGTCAAACCTCAGATCCAGGAGGAAAAATGTGGGTTCCGTCCTGGCTGTGGAACAATGGACCAGCTCTTTACCCTCACTATTGTTCTCGAGTGGTCATGGGAGTTTGCCCATCCACTTCCACTTCCACTTCTATGCCGATGACTGTCACATTTACATCCCCCTAAGACACAATGGTACATGCCCTATTTAACCGCTGCTCGACTGCCTGGCTGACATCAGGGACTGGACGGCTTTAAATTTCTTAAGTTTCAATGAAAAGAAGTCTGAAGTCATGTTGTTCCCTCCCAACGACACGATCACAAACCACTGCATC